CATATATGCATAGTCTGAAAATGGCAATAATACCCAAATAGTACCAGAATACATTAGAATTTACCACAATCCACCTTAAAATATTTGTTGAAAATTTACTTTAAGATTGCAGTAATACTTGAGTTATCAAGGTTTTAAAGCCATTTACTTTGATACAGGGTTTTTTGCTAAACTAGAATAGCTCATTATTTAAGTCAGTGACATACAACCTTATTGCATTGGACATATCAAATCCTCATAATTATCTTTTTTCCTCTCTTACACATTTCTTACCAATGAATGATATAAAACAACACTTCAGTTTCGAGAAACTTGATAAAAAACATTATTACAATGACAGCCTAATCAAAAGAAATCGTTAAATGATTATTTTACTTCCCTATCTTTATTAACATCAAGAAGCCGGAGAACTTTTAAACATCCAAGTTTGTAGTTACATTACCCCCCCCACTCTCAATCACATATCATTTCTGATGTAATGTCTTTTTTCCTTTTATCAAAAGTTCCTGGGAGCAAAAAAAACATGGTGTTATATTGATAAACAAGTCAGTTATTAGTATCTAATGACTCGTAAATTTCATATTGAAAAAAAAAGAAAATAGCATTGACTTATTGATGAAATATAAAGATTTAGACCTTAGTAATTTACCCACAGAAGAAATGTAATTTTTCTGTTTAGAACTTTTAACCTGCTGCAACCGAAAGCAGATTAGCTTTTGCCATCAGATAAGAGCCAAACTTCTGTATATCAGACCACAGTCTGGTCATATTGGACCACAGTCTGATAAGCCTACATATCAGACCAAACTCTGGTCATATCGGACCACAGTCTGGTCATATTGGACCACAGTCTGGTCATATTGGACCACAGTCTGGTCATATTGCACCACCGTCTGATAAGTCTACATATCAGACCAAACTATGGTCATATCGGACCACAGTCTGATCATATCGGACCACAGTCTGGTCATATCTGACTACAGTATGGTCATATTGGACTACAGTCTGGTCATATCAGACCACAGTCTGGTCATATTGCACTACAGTCTGGTCATATCGAATTACAGTCTGGTCATATCATACCACAGTCTAGTCATATCATACCACAGTCTGGTCAGCATGCATATTGGACAACAGTCTGGTCATATCGGACCACAGTCTGGTCAGCCTGAATATGGGACCACAGTCTGATCATATCAGACCACAGTCTGGTCATATTGTACCACAGTCTAGTCAGCCTGAATATGGGACCACAGTTTGATCATATCAGACCACTGTCTTTCAGCGTTCATGTGGTCATATTAGACCATAGTCTGGTCAGCCTTTAATTGGGTCCACAGTCTGGTCAGAATGAGTGCTGTTGTCAGCTCAGTTTAAGAAATAAAGTTACACCATTTGTGTATAAAAAAAACTTCATGAGTCTAAATGTGATACAACTGATACAAACCAAACCTGACTTCAGAAGCCTAAATCAAACAAAAATGTTGGCTGCTTTTCACCTGAAATCTTTCTGGTATCAGTTTAATGATAGATTTGTTGATGGAAGACTAATTTTACTTACTTGCTTATCATGTGATAAGATTTTATTCTAGTCATTCAATAATCTAGTTTTCATGTTAAATCAGAACACTGTAAAGTTTATGGCAGTGAAAAACTGCAGAAAGATTCATGATAAGTGGTAAGAGATAAAAATTATTTTATCATTCATTGCGGAAAAAAAGTCCCTGCAAAACAAGATGAAATAATAAACATGTTTTTCTGCAAGCAAGAAGATAATGCAGCAAAAAAAATTTCATTTCATAACCCGATGTTTTCGATATTAGACAATAAAGGTTTATTCAGGCAATAAAATAGGCTTTTTGAAGGATTATTCTTTTTAATAAAGAATGCATAAAAGAGAAAATATTGTAGATAACGATGATTTAAGGCTGATTCTGTTGCAATTTGCATGATGCAGTTATATTTTACGAGATATTAACCACAGCTGTTAGAAACATTGTGAAAGTTTTAAAAAAGGGAGATAATAAATGATATTATTTTAAAGTTTTTCATTAAAAAAAGAAAAACAAACAAAAAATTTCTTTAAAAAAAAAAAAAAAGAAGCAAAAACACTAAATTCTTTGTTTATTGGTAATTGTCTGGTCTTTTTCTCCTAGTAAGTCTCACTCATAATGACCTTGACTTTGGTCCATATCTGGCCATGAATTAGTACTTAACAATTGAAGCCATCCATATTACATATACCAACAATAACCAACTTTCATTTCAAGTAGAGATACTCCAAAAACTCAGCAAATGTGGGTTTTTCCAACCTGATCCCTGGGTACAAATTACAATTTTGTAAATATATTGTATATGGATAACAAGTGCAATACCTAGGTCAATGTATAATGACCAGTAGTGCAACTGTTATAATAAATGGTAGTGCACCGTGAAGCTACTATGGTAAAAATTTCTTTGTATCCCGTATAATATGGGAAAAACCCAAAGTTGCGCAGTTCCAGGTCAAAATCATTCTGTTGTCAATACTTAAATTGATAAATCATTCTTTCTAATGTAACTACTGGACTGCCTCCGTGGTCGAGGGGTTAGAGTTGATGACTTCTAATCCAGTTACCTCTCTGGCATGGGTTCAATCCCCGGGAGATGCTTTGGTAGTTTAGCACGAAGGAAGGTAGTCTACTACTGGTGAAACTCTCCAGGAACGATGGTAAGGAAACTACCCGCTTATATGACTGAAATACTGTTGGAAAAAGGCGTAAAATGGAACAAACAAACATGTTACTACTGGTTACAACAACCTTCTAAAACCTTTCTTTATGACAAACATTTCTAATCTATTACTTTATCCAACAAGTGTGCTTATATCATATATAATTTCTATTTGTATCTGTGATTCTTTTTTCTGTTACCTGCTGCAGAGAATGTTTTTGTTTGTTGTTATTTTCCTTCCATATCATAGAAATAATTCTTCGAATACATTCTGTCATAAATAGCTTTTATGATTTGCATAATGAAATGCACCAGTGAAAGGTAAACATATTTCTACTAACTGTGCGCAAATTCCGGCAACATTAACATGGGTGGAACTATTTTCTTCAAATGAATCCAAACATTGTTGGGTTTTTTTTTTATCATAACACATAAGTTGTAATCTGTTCTAGATAAATATATATACATGGGGAGGTAATTTTAAACAGTAGAACCTATGTATATCCCTGGAATTACAGTTTAAGAAATATGAATTTGGTTGAATGGTGGTCTTTAAAATTTAACTAAATGCCTTATGACTTTGATCTAAAAGTTTATAAAGATATTAAGCAGAGTAATGTTGAGATGTTCTGAATTTATGTTGTGTCAGTAATTTGTAAAATAACTCTAAAACTTATTTTATATGTATGTGTTTACATTATTCATGAAAAAGTAATGTTACTCAAGAAACGTGTATTTATGCCTTTTTTTTCGGAGTTTTTTTTCAGTCTGTCAAAATCGGTAAACATTCAGTCAGTTATGTTTATTGTATATAAAGATCTCAGTATGATAAGTCAGGCTTCTATATATTTTTTTTTCTTGTTGAACTTCTGGTTACCTTCTTCCTTGTCATAATTCATAAACCCGAGACTGAAAAGATGGGTAAATTATTGGAACAGTAAAAAACATTTCTGACAGGAAAGCGGTGCAAATTTGCTCATAAACATTTCAGATTATCTGACCCATTGTTTGACCTTTGTGCACTCAGAGAGGCATTGCATAGGTAGTACATTTTTATTTAGTATTAAAATATATTCAACAAACTGGCTCTTTTTTCAATCATCAAAGCTTGCCATGCAAATTCGTCTGCAGGTTTTAACATCATTAATTGCAATTATAATTATAACAGAAAATTCACATGCCCACTTAAAAAAAAGTAAAAGTTATAGATTTAATGTCCATTGCAAAGTTCAATGATGTCATGCAACATATCACATGCCATTTTGGTAAGTTTCAATTAAATTGTATTAAAGTTTCGGAGGAAGTTTATATGCTGTTTGTAGGCTTTATTACATTGACCTTCAGCCAAGCACCAAACTCAGGTACACACAGACTTGGCTTTTACATACCATTTGAAATTTTAAGTAATTAAACAGATAAGCATTTCAAGTGTTTTGAACCTATAAAATGCCTAAATAGTATGTAATTAAGTAAATTTTCCCCAAGTGCAGAACTATCAGATGACCTTTGTATATACTTTTTTGACCTCTAGGGGGTCTCTATATATATTTCTACATCAAAGGGACAGGCCCTTTCCTTATCTTTGCTCTAAACTAAAAGATAAATGTTTCATGAGTCAATTGGCAGATATTAGCCATTAATACTTACTCTGAACTCTGTTTTAAGTAGCTGGAAAGGTTTTTGGTGGTATTCGTTTCCAACATTATGTCTTTAGCACACCATACATTTTTCATTACTGGCCATAAAGTGGGCAATAAAAGCAACAGGTAGTGGTCAGTGTAGACATAAAGATGAGCAATATATTCTGAATTGAGGATGTAGACACTGTGAAGGTGATGGCCATTAAAAAGCAGGAATGTGTTTCTTTGTTTAATCATTTAAGGAGTGGCCAAAAACAATTAAATTGTGTTAAAAGTAGAACTACTGGATTAATGGTGGATAAATACAGGAAATAATGTCAGTATCTTTGTTTAGATACATGTAGTTTTTTTGGAAATTTTCAAAAGTTGTCTATAATTCGATTACAAAATAAATTCAGATTGATAAGTATGGCACTATCCATTAGTATGGTACAGGTTTTATATGTGGTTTGATATTTTCATGATGGAAAGTATGGTACAGGTTTTATATGTGGTTTGATATTTTCATGATGTGAAGTATGGTACAGGTTTTATATGTGGTTTGATATTTTCATGATGGAAAGTATGGTACAGGTTTTTATAAAGTAATATCTAATTATAAAAGGTATGGTAATGGTTTTTATACAATATTTTGTTTTGATATTTCAGGATGGAAGGTATGGTACATGAAATGATTCAGTATAAAAGCAAGATTGACCAACTGAAGCAAGAAAAATCCAGTCTCTCCACAACATATGAGGTATATATGATAACATATAATTATAATCCTCAATTTATAATGTATTCTGGGTAAATGAATATTGAAATGAAGATTAAAGGTACCTTTAATGGTCTGGATTAAGTAATATACATGTATATAATTTTATAGTGCAATAATTTTAGCTGAATTGTTCAAAGAGAAAAGAGGATGTTGCATATTAACTAAGGCTTGGTTTAGGATTTGTTGGCAAAAGTATAACCCATTTATGGACTAATATATAAATGTATTTGCTTGAAGTTTTAAAAATATCACCAAGTTCATGATTGTCAGGCACTGCCAAAGGACAATAACTCTTACTGAGAGTTAATTATATACCCTCTTAGTGAACTTATTAAAATTTGTGGTTTAAGTTTTGCAAACAAATGATGCAATGACATTTACTTGAAACTGCACACATTTATTTAAAGGCAAAGTATTAGGTCAGTGACCAAAATTCATAGCTCTAGCATTGTTTCACACTGAATTATTCCCCTTTGTAATTTTGAAAATTCCGTCATCAAGGCAGCTCTTGTTTATCTTAAACAATAATTTCAATAATTAAAGTAATATATTCTATAATTTTATAGCATCAGTCTAGTTTGAGACATTAACAGTATATATTTGTAATACATTATTTTTGTTTTGTTTTACAGTCAAATATAGACAAGTTTAAGGGTCATATAACAGACCTGGAGAGAGAAAACATGGTGCTGCTGAATGAAGTCAAAAAACTTGAATCTCAGGTTAGTTAATTAATTAATTAACAAAATTGAAATTAATTAATTAATTATTTAACAAATGAAACTAATTAATTAATTAGTGATAAGCTGGTCAGTATGTCAGTTAGTCAAACAGTCAATTGAAAAATAGATACAGCTTTACAACTTATATACACTGAAATACAGACAAGTTTGCTATATGCTTGCAGTACAGGCAAGTTAAAAAAATACAGGAAAGTTAAAAAAAAGAACTGAAATACAAGTTAATGAAATATTGACAACAATACTGAAATACAGACAAGAAAAATAAATAAGTTAAATATACTGAAATACTTAGCCCATGTCTTAAATAATAAATGTCTGCAGTCAAAAAATAAAAAAGATATATGTGCCCTATTGAAACTTCCTTGTGAGATATGTTTAAACTCGAAAGCCGACTGTTTTTGAGGGTTTCCATATATGACAGAATTAAACAAAAAAGAATGCTTTTTCTGTTTCTCAGTATGGGTTTTAATACACAAAGTTAACTGTACCCTTGTTTTGTTACATAATACATCCATGACAGAAATTAAACAAGAAAGGCCGCTTTCTCTATTTCTCAGTATGGGTCTTAATACACAGGGTAAACTGTACCCTTGTTTTGTTCATAATGCATCCATATAATATATAAATGAAAAAGCAAAAATGGCTGCTTTAACAGGGTTTACTGTACACTTGTTTTGTTACATAATGCAGTTAAATTACGAATAGCGGAAATTAGTTTTCCTGTGTTGAAAATATGCTAACGAGAAAATAAAAATGACAAAAGGCTGCAATTCAGTTAAATGTTAATTGGCGCTGAAAATGTTAATGTATTTATAAGGAAATAATAGTTAATGAAAATTCATTCATAAAGGGAGGTTTTATTTCTGGGATTGCCAGAGTGTTTCTATTAGGAATACAAATTGTGTGAATTACTGAAGTTTGTGGATTATAATTATCGTTGATTAAGTCTTTATGTTTGTTCAAATGTTTATGCTGCAGTGTGTTGATACTGTATTAATTAAGTTGGTTTTTTTCCTCTTGCGTCACAAGCAGATTGTAGAAAAAATATTCTTTAAAGTGCTTTTGTGCAAAGTAAAAAATTTGTACAAAAAAAATAAGTACATGTACTGTATTATATTAAAGCAGCTTTTAAGTTTCCTTTCATTCTTCTTTTTCTGTTCATTTGTTTCCTGTATGTGCAAACATGAATTTTATAAATTATTCTTTATTATACAAGTTTTATGTATGTTTTCTTTGAAGTTATTTTATTCTTTCTGGATAGTACATTTTTCTATTTTGAATAAAAGATTAGAATAAAATTAAAAGAAAACTTGGAACTTATCACTCAGCCTTGTACTGGTAATTGAAGGCATTTCTTAAGTACAGGAGGCACTGAGGCTGAGTCCTGTTTGTTTCTGATTTTGATCTACTTACCTTTTAATGGCTATTGGTTGAATTTTACTTATCCCTCTAGAGCTTTAGATTGTTTCATGTCAGGATCGAAGATAATAATGCTGGCATGTTGAAGGTCAATGGTGCTACTCATTTGCTTGCTTGTGTCTAAAATAAATGACAGTGGAGTACTTAAGGTCTGCCTCCATCTGTATGGCTGAGGAGCGGTTTGCATTTGATCTTTACATAGTCATTGTAAACCAACGAAAACACGCGAGACACAAAGACACAATTGATAATGGATAATTAAAGAAAAATTGAAAAGCGTTGCAATGCTTTATGCTCAAATTGGACTAAAAACAGCACAATGATACGATTCTCAACTTATTTTTGAGTATTTTTTTTAAAATATCTTTTGCATATTTTTCTGTTTTAAGTGCCCCAGCTGATCTTAGTGAGAAATTCAATTTTTTATGTTTTAAGGCCCTTGGACCACAGTGGAGTTCCTTTAAATTTTAATCCTTTGATGTAAATGTCAGGAATTTATTATTTATGTTTAATTTGAAATTTTAAATTTTAGATGAGTCATAAAACAGATGGCAGAGATCGTTACAAACTTCTTCTCGAGAGGCTACGCATGATAGAGGGAGAGAACTCTTCTCTTGTTCTCGAGAATGAACAGCAACGTGCTCAGTACGAGAAATGTCTTGATGAAATAGCTAATCAGGTAACTGCAATTTATTTTCTTAGTTTTAGCAATTTTAGTGTAAAAATGATAAAAAGTGAGGATTTAACAGGTACATGTCAATTGGAACGATCCTGGATATATACAAATGGTATCGGTTTGGTTAACTTTGTTTTTATATCCCCCCCTTATAACACTGCATGTTTGTAACATAGCTCTTCATTCGATAATTGTATATATTATATATATATAGTTTTATATACACGGCTGCTGTCAATTTATGCAAAAATCTCATTTTTTTCTCTTGCTGCATTATAAATTTGTTATAAATATTTCTGACAGGTTATATGGCTGTATAATAGACAGTTGTTTGCAATATATTTCCAAACAACAATTTGTATATGGCCATTTAACTTGTCTAAAATCTTTATGAATAATAATATAACTTTTTGTTTGTTCGAGCAAAGTTTACTATGTATGACACACTCTTATAGTTAACAGAACTACAGAGAACCATAGAATTTATTCCGTTATTAGTGAAAATAACGGTCATGACTCTATATATATGAGAAAAAAAATAGCAAAACAAAATGGCCCTTAGTCAATTTAAGTGGAACATTTTGATGTGGAAATCTATTTGGACATTCAAAAGAGAAGAGTGCCATATTGGTTAAGGTATATGCTCCTCAAAAATATATGGGTTTTTTAAGAAATCTTGATGAAGATCAAAATTTACAACTACATAAGTTATAACAAGAAATTTATTGAACTTCTGTAGGTGGTCCAAGCTCTGCTGGCACAGAAGATGTTGCGGGAGGAATGTTTGAAGTTACAGGATCGCGTTCAGGACCTTGAGTATCAAAACAAGCACTTGAGCGTAGTCTTCCAGCAACGGATTAAACTTATGGCTGATGGTAACACGCAGGTAATGAGTTTTCTACCTAGCAACCAAGAATCTTAATATGTCTTTCATTTCCTAAATTTGAAGATGTCATTCTTATGTCTTTCAGACATAAAGACTGAAAAGTCAATCATTATTCACACATAACATGTAAATTATCACAAATCTTTATAATTTTTTTACTTTTTCTAAAATTTTAGTACATTTTTTTCTCGGGAAATATTTTGGCTCATCTCGATGCATGCAGCTTTAAAGTCAATTTTGAATTAAATGATTAATTAGCATGTACATTGTATTATAAAATAATGATTTTATTTCTATATATAGGATGGCAGTGTATATATAGAAGGCAGTATGGAGTCCCTACATAGCATGTTTAGTGAACAGGTACCCATAGTATATTAATCATATCGAGCCTTGTCATGCTAAAATGGGCATTACATCTACAAATATTAAATAAATCCTAAAAATATCTTATTGTACAAAATTTATGTTTATATTATTCAGTTCAGATATCATATAGATCTAATTCTGGATAAGAATGATGTTTTTGATCAAAAGGCTTTGAATCATACTTTTTAGACTTCAACTACATTTGGAATTTGGAAAAATGTTTGGCAAATTATCATAATTTTGGTGGTAGATTACGGAAAAATATGTTACAAATAGTTTTACTTTTGTTGGAATCGGGGAAAATGTATCACATTATTTTGTTGGAAATGGGAAACATTTATGCAAACTTAGTAAAATTTGTTGCTACATAGTTTTTGAAATTGGAAAATTGTGTCACAAATTGTCTTAATTTTGACAGAATTGGGAAAAGATCATTGCAAACAATCTTCACTTTGATATTTATAATGTAAAATGTGTTGCAGATTTTCTTAATTTTGGTGGTATTGGGAAAAAGGTGTTCCAGATTTATTCTTAATTGGAACCTTTAGAAAAGTGGAAGCTGTATTATAACAGACAGTATATTGATATAAGGAAACATGGAAATGTTTGTGTTTTGTTTGCTTTTTGCAATAGATACAGCATTTTAAAAATCTATTTCCTGTCTTTAATTTTACTAAAGAAATGGCAATATGTAAAAACTGCTCCAAATTTGAAATTTTAATTTAGCAATTTAGAATAGATTTTATGGAGAAAAAATAGGACATAGAAAATTGGTATTTCACACTGTAATGGTAATTCTGTTCTTGAACAAGCCCATGATTGTATGCTAGGTATTTTACATTCTTATTTTGTTTATTTTCAAAGAACTTTTATTTTTATATCATTTTCTGTTAAATTCTACTAGAATAGAATATGTATGCTAAGTGGTTGAAATCTTTAGGTTAAAAATGTATTCTTGCATGTATTTAAAGATAGTCCAGTTGATAATAGTTTGTGTGAATTCATTATTTTACAAAAAGTTGATTTACATAAATTAGTATTTTTTCTCTCTCCTTGTTAGTTTAATAACCAGTATACAAATTATTAACATTCTTACATAGAAGGATATAAAGAATAACTTTTAAATCATGTTGCTAAGCAACTATTTTATTATAGTAAAATATCTATTTTTAGACTGTTGACAATGTTGCGGGGATTCCTCAGATGAGTTCTCCACCATTATGGTTGAAGGAACGGTTGCCAGGTGACAGACAGAGTATTGTGTCATTTAATGGCAGCATTTCTTCCACGCCAGATATGGACTATGAAATGTCACCGGAACATGGTGAATTCCGGTGCCGTACAGAAATACAAACTGAATTTCCAGCTACGCCTTCTAGTCCAAAGTCAAAACATGTAAGTTTTGTGGAAAGAAAAAGCGAAACAAAACGAAGCTCATCAACATCATCGTTAGTTACGCCAAAATGTGGACCAAGTCGACAACGAACTAGATCTACCTCTTCTCTCAGTCGCGCAAGAGGACTGAGTTTAATTTCACCTCAGACAGTGTCAAAATCACATGATTCAGGAATTCAGAATACAGCGACCAATGAACAATCAGGTTTAAATCAGGGTGTGGCTGTTGCAGCCAATCAAAAAAGCTCAAAAAAGACTTCGACCAATCAGAAATGTATTACGAAATTTAGAGTGCCTTTAAACCAATCAAATCCCTCCACTACAAATGATTCATCTCAGGGACAAATGTCTCAGTCATCTTCAAAAATTCCAACCCTACCTGGTGGGAAAACTACTGATGACTTACAGGTGCGAAGAAATTCCCTTAAAGCTGAATATAGTATTAGAATGGGCTGTCAGTCTCCAGCCATGCGTAACAGCCCATCCCCAAATCCAAACTCGAGACTTCCACAAGGTAGAGTATCTTCTGCTCATAGTTCAAGGTCGTCCTTAGTTTCCACTGGAGGTCAAGGCCAGTCAAGGTCACCATCGGTTACCTCTGGCAGATCACAGTCAGCAGGTTCTAAAATTCCAATGGTTTCTAAAGGTAGTGGACAGACAACTTCGAAATTGCCCTTAGTTTCAACAGGAAATAAATCAAAAACAGGAAGTGATAAGCAGATGGCAAAATTAATTCCACCCAAGTCACCGAATTTAAGGTATTCTGGTATTCGCACAACATTGAAAACAGACAAAACTGTACAAAAATCTGAAACTTCTGGTGCTAATAATAAAAATAATACTTCAGTAACTGTGCCAAATACAAGTGCTAATCTGAAAACTGTGTACTCAATTAGTTCTGTTACAACTTCAAAAGTAAGCGAAGCTAAAAAGTCTGAAGGCAATAAAAAACCAGCAATACCTGAACGTGGAAACAAACCTGTTAACCATCGGTCCGAATCACATTTTCCAATAATGGGTTTAACAACATTGAGTCAAACAAGTCCAAAAAATGATGAAACTTCAAATGTTTATGCAAATGTATCCCAAGTGCCAAGTAGTTTTTCTTCGGTTGTCACGAGAACCGATATCGTTCATCAGAACAGTGACCAAATGGAAAGCAGTACGTTGACGCGCGGCAAATATTTTTATGACTATAGTGATGAAGATAGTGACTTTAAAGAGGCTGATTTAAAGCGGCCCATTTCTACAGATTTTAGCGCTGCATCAACAATATCATTAGATGAATTGTTGGACCGAACTCTGGAAAATAGGGACACACCAGTTGATAGTGACTTTAGTTCAGGATTTTTTTTATACCCTACAACCCCAACATCTCAGAAAGTGACTGAAAGTAAACTAGGTGCTAATGTTAGTTGTGTTTCGTCCAGTGTTAGTGGAAATGAACCGTATTACTCAGTGCAGAATAAGAGTTCAGAAAAATCACAAAACTCTCAATGTAATTCTAATGCATCAGAGAGAGAAATTGAGGCTAAAAATAGACTTACGGGAAAACCGGATATAGTTCAAGATACAGAAGAGTGTGAACAACGTTTGATGCAACAAAGTTTGACAATATCTGAAATACCTGGTTCATCTATGCCAGGATATCGAGCCAAACGACCCAAATCTCTGATTCTAGGGGCAAAAGAAAAGAAATTTTTGTATTGTGAATATGGCTCTTCGTCAAGTTCCGATACTTCAGACGAAGAGCGTCGATACAAAATTTCTTACGCGAAAAATGTTAAACAGCAGGAAATACAATCAATGGTAGCAAAAAGTGTGAAAGCCGGGGAGGCAAAAGTCATTGAATCCCCGAAGTCGTCAAGTACAAATAAAGATTCTAACACAGACAAGTCTACTTCATCTTCGGATACTAAAAAAGGAAAAAGTTCTCAATTACCTAAACCCGGTGCCATGAAAAAGCCATCCAGAATTCCGCCACCTGTGGCAAGTAAACCTGCACATAAAGTTTGCATGGACTCAAAAGACGCAAAAATACCGAGACCAAGATCTGTTGAAATTTGTGTTAATACTGCAGCGTTATCCACTCTTAATTCTAAAACTTTTTATCCTTATGTACATGACACAGGTTCTAAAGATTTCTCAAAATCTGAATCTGAAACATGCCTTATTAAAAACTATGACAAAATTGAACATTCGGAGATGATGTCAAACACAACTTTTGATGAGGTCAAGGTTGAAAGGTCAGGGAGTAAGGATGATGGATATTCAACAATGTCAAGTGATATACAGCCGGAGAATCTGGAAAAATACTCAGATGCATTTGAAAGTTCTACAAACAGCAATGATGCAAGAAATTCAAATTTAAGTCTCAGTTCACAAAACTCATATTCAAGTGAAGATCGACTAAGTGGTCATGGGTCATTAGGGCGTGTGAAAGCTATGAAAATTAAATTTGAAATTGAGAATCAGAAATCTCCAGAGTCATCGCCAACAAAAACTCCACCAGTATCCCCAAAAAGGTCTCTTTTAAAATCTCCGAAACCGGTTCTTGAACGAGTGTCGAATAAATACTCTGACAATCAATCGGTTGAAGGACAGAATAGCAAAATTCCGAAACCGAAAGGTCCGTTGATAAGTCAAACGAAACCAAAAAGTGCAATACCCTTACCTAAAACAACAACAAGTGCCAAAAAAGATCAAGTTATAAGTAAGATTGAAGTAAATATTCAGCCAAAGTTAAAAAAGTGTGTAAAAGAGGTTAGTGAACAAGTGACAGTACAGTCACGTGTTGTTGAAAGTTCTTCTGTCTCCGTAAAATCATCGCCAGTTGTAACAATGCCATCAAATGTGATAAATACTCAAAAGTTCATAATAAATAACAATAGCAATCAGTTGCCTGTGCAACAAAACACCATGACAACAAAACTTGTTGAAGAATTTAATCAATTGAATTACTTCCCGCCAGCATTTGACAAAATGGAAATTCTTGCCGAGGGTTATGATAGCAATAGCTCCCTATCTGACCGAGCCTCAGATTTAACGTCCCTTCATATTTCAGAGGACAACATTCTCTCAGATATTCCAGAAGAGAAAGACGGTTATGAAAGCTCTGTTGGAATTCGGAGTGAAAATACGTCCATTTCGTCTCTTCCAGCCATAAATGTGAAAAAGCCTATACAGCAGACGACACATACCTCCACTTCCCATCATGCATCAGTAAAATACCAGTTCACAACAACGCTGAAACGTCACTGGTCATCAAACCAAGGACTTGTGCGAGCTGTGCGGATTGCCGATTACGAGAAACAAAAACAAGCTAAACAGTCAGCCGATTATGACGAGCTGTATGGCGGATGTCTAAATATAGAATCATTATTGGAGAGGTCATCCTCAGAGTCAGATATGTTCACCAGGGGAGATAAGCCTGAGGTCGTTCTGTTGCCAAGGTTACAAAGGTCAAAGAGTGCTGAACATCTTGTGATAGATGAACTGGCTGTTGAGGAACGTCTGCAGATACTTCTGAAGCATAATATGATGGAACAGGTAAGATTTTCTTGTAAGTTTACCTTTCTAAATTAAAATAGACTTGTACTTATTTGCATTTGGACTTGTTCATTGTTCATTTAAGGGAATTCAAGCAATAAAGGAGGAAATAATGATGTCATTTGTAGAAATACCATTATACCAAAGTGGTAAACTATTGAATGAAAGCAGATTGTTTAACTTTTACTCTGCTAAATACATGTATCTTAAATGGACTTGTCCATTTTTCAATCAGGACAAACCCATTCATCACCTTTAGGAGAAAATTTCAAAGTATGTACTTATTGAATAGTAAATGCAGATCATGATCTGACAGATGGCATGGCTGTGTTGGCCAATCTAGGTTGGTACTTGTCGCATGATAAAATATATATTTTGTATGGAACTGAATTAGCAAGTGTATAAAGCAAATTTAAATACTTAACCAAGTGTATAAATGACAATTTAAATTTATCAAGTGTATGACTGCCAATTTAAATTACTAAGTGTATAGATGCTAATTTAAATTACCAATTGTATAAATTAAATGCCAATTTAAATTGCCAAATGTATTATAAAATGCCAATTGAAATTTTAAATTACCAAGTGAATAAATGCCAATTTAAATTACTAAGTGTATAAATTAAATGACAATTTTAATTGTCAAATGTATAAGTTCCAATTTAAATTATCAAGTGTATAAATGCTAATTTATATATCTGTTTATCTATTTGTAGATTTCAAAGACTGTTGAAAGTGCAGAAAAAGATGGGGAAACATTTTCTAGTTTTGTTGAATTGTTGGTGCAAAGAGGTCATGTGTTGGACTCACCCTCGCCTCTTAAGGAGGCCAAAGGGTTGGAGGTATTAACATATTAAATTTTTTAGGATAGAGGGTTTTATGACATTATCAATTCATGCATTTTTTACACAGTCCCTAATACTTACTGTAAATATTTTATGCCAACATAATTGATTGTTTAGAATTTTAGGACAAAGAATGTTAGGTTAAAGAAAAATGTAAGGACAAAGAAAGAATCTTAGGACAAAGAATTTTAGGATAAAGAATGTTAGGGCAAACATTGTGAGGACAAAGAATGTTAGGACAAATAATGTTAGAATAATGAATGTTAGGACAAAGTATAATTATTAGGTTAATGTTAGGACAAAGAAATTAAGGACAAAAGAATCTTAGGACAAAGAGTCTTAGAGTGAAGAATCATAGGACAAACATTCAAAGTCTATAATAATAAATACATGTACCATTATCATTTAATCATTTTATGTTATAATGTCATGGTTATTTCCTGTTATAATTTGCAAGGTTTTAGTTGTGAGCTATATCTTTGCTAAGACGGGGATGTTAAATTAGTACCTGAGAAATTCATATTACTGTTTTAAACCTGATCAACTGAATGTGTTATGAAAATTTCACTTCATCTTTATTTCTACATGTACTAGTAATTAATATTTAAATGAGTTACAATTTATTATTGTTGAGATTTTATTTCACATGATCTGATAATAAGCAGAATATTCAATATTATGATATTTCTTTATTCCAGACTCCGACAGAACTCAACAAAATGTCTGTTTCAAACATCTCCTCAAAGGGGCAGAACTTAAGCCCAAACTCTTTCGTTTCTGAGGGGAGACCTGAAGCAGAGTTACCTCCCATTTGGGAAGACCAGAAGAAATTCAACAGTCAGTTTTATAGTCTATGTAACACTGGATCAAATAGGAGCATATCAGATAAGAGTGAGATGACAAACAAAGATACTGTTGGTTTGAAACATGAGAACAAAAGTGCCATTCACACATGCCAGAAAGGTGACCAGTTTTGCAAGAAGTGTGAAGAGGAGAGAAACTTGAATGAGTTTGACAGCATTTCTCGACAGATCGAAAGTCTGTCAAAAACTGTTAATCAATTGCACAGAAGTTTATCTAGTCTGAACAGCGAGGATTCGGACAGCGGTCCGGAATCCAACGAAGGAGACATGGGTCAGTCAAGTGCAATTGGAAATAAGGACATTGACGGGTACCAGTGGGTAGAGGACGAATTTTTCCTGTCGCCATATAGCGGGGAAATCATACTTGGTAGCTCACCTTTTTCGAAAACTGGAGCCTCGTGTGACTGGATTAATAATTATTCTGAAAACGTTGACCAGTTAGAGGAAATTGGTGGTGATGAAGCTCTGTTGGAAGAACCGGATATTGATTTACCGGATTTCGAAAATACCTCGGTCAGAAATAAGCGTAACTCCATGCAAAATTCTATAATAGCAGATTCATTGGATGAAGAAGGAAATTTTGACAGTCATCATTTTATTTCGCGCCGTCTGCAGCAAGAAGAGGAAAGAAGAAGGGCCCGACTGGTGGATGGAAGCGAATCTGGTATTCATATAACAATGCCCGAATTAATGAGATTAGAATCTACAATGAGTCAGGTGCTAAAGTCAAGGCCACTGCTAAAAGAAGACTTGAGGATGACACCAGAAAAAGACTTGGATGATACAGAAAAAATTTATGACAAGGTAAATAACAATTTTTGATAAACAGAAAAATTCACATTTTACTTTGCTTATGTATGTTTTTCTGTATTTACAAGATGGTTTTCCATCTAAAAAGATAAATTTATTTAAAATTGGATGTGGCAATTTAGATTTTAGGTCTTAGGAACCTTAAAAAGCAGGCTCCAAGAGTTTTAATTTTTAAAACTCATAGTCCTAGCCTTCTCTGTGATATTTTACGGTATTTGTGTGACTTAAAACCTCTGGGAAAAATGTGACTTAAGACCAATGGAAAGCTTCCTTGGTTTGCAAAGACTATTTTGAAATTCATTTGCATACTTGGAATATACATGTAGTTTTATTAAGTATTGTTGACTATAGAAGGGATTTAGCTTTCAGTATTTTTTTTTCGATCCAAGTGAAAAGTTCTTGCTAAGATTTGATTGTATTTTGTTTTAACATGCATTAGAGCCATTCGTAATTTGATTTTAAAGTTAAAATTAATTTGAAAGCCATGCTTAGAACAATAATTAAATTTTTGAAGTTTCTGAGAATTTCTTGTTTGTTTGACAAGTAAGTTGTAAATTCACTAAATTTTGCAGGCATGAAATTTCGTGGTTTTGTCAAAATTGAAAAACGACATTTTTGTAGGTTTTTAAACTTGTGGATTGCCTGTTCTTGCATAAAAAAGTACATTGCAAGTAATGTAATGCAAAAAATAATCTTACAGCAGAAGAAATAAATGTTCATGAGATATTGAATTTGTGGAAAGACCTATCCACGAAAACTAGGAAAAGTAGTACACCACAAATAATAATGACTTTGCAGGGTAATAGAGTTTGCGGCTATAATCATTTTGTTTTTGTACTTCTGGGCTGCGTTTCATGGAGAGTCTTAAGTTAATCCTAAATCCTAGGACTTATGACCAACTTTAGGAGAAAAAGTTTTTGCACTTAATACCTTTTCAAGTAACTGTCCTATCTTTTGTCTTAAACTTAAGACTTATGACCAATTCGCTCTCCTGAAAAAAGTTACAAAATACAATGGCACGCGCATAATCCCGGATTGGATTTACTTAAGAAATAATATATCCCAAACTGTGATTTTATCGCTCAATAACATCACTGTTTGGAGTTCGGATGCGAGGAATTATATCACGAGGGCGTAGCCCGAGTGATATAATGATGCGCATCCGAACGACAAACAGTGATGTTATCCAGCGATAAAATCACCGATTTGGATATATTATTTCGATTCTAACACGACATAAACAAAAAAATGCTGCCGTACCTGCTATTAAGCAAAATTGCGCCTGATTTGTTTCCGTACTTATTGTCAGCGCGTCGGATTTTATAGTGGTTACGTCACAATGTATAATGATTACGTCACATGTCTAAATATAGAGCGTCAAACAGTGACTCTATTGCATAATAACACACACTTTCGGTTCTTCTATGTTCAATAGGGAAAAATGCGGGTCGTGTTAGAATATGTAATTGATTATAGGAAGTATAAAAAGTAATGTATTTCCCTCTTATCATGTTGAGTGAAAATATATACCATATTTCACGAAAAACGATAAAATAACCGTTTTATTTAATTTCATAGTAAAAAATATTTACGCAATTGTACATCGCGCAGTAATATTATTTATAGATGCGTCTTGTTTTGCACGCGATATTTGGCGCTAAATTGTGACGTCATGTAAGCAACTCTTTAAACGTCTTTACAGCGTTAATGACTGAATTAAAGATATTGGTGTTCGGATTTATTTTCTTAGTTAGACTATTATCTATCATTCTAGATAGTTTTCAAAACAAAATTCAACAAAAAGTTGTTTGATTTTGGAGTGGTTTTGACTTAGGACAGTCTTAAGATACCTTTACAACACTCCTAGACTTAGGACTGTTTTTGGTCATAAATATAGGAGTCCTAAGTTAGGACCTTTTTTAAGACTTTCTTTGAAACGCAAAATTGTCACAATTTTTGACTTAAGACAAACTTAGGACTTAGGACTCTCCATGAAACGCAGCCCTGTTTGATATATATAATTAGCATCTGCATTCCTAGGCAATAACGTAAAACCATAAAGCAAAGAATTCAATTGTATGGCCTGTGATCCTTCCTATAGAACGGTCTTCTCTTCACTGTTATAAGCAAGATTTGAAGTTCAGAGGCAATAATTCATTAAACAAATTTATGTCCAAGTGTGAATGATTACCTCTTTTTTTACTTTTCATATTTTTAGAAGCAGACGGACATGTTTGAGAAGATGATGTTATACGGCGGTAGTCAGGACAGTTTGGATGATAATATCGGAGTTGACAGTGTAATGTGTCATCGTCTGCTTGGTGGAAAAGGTTAATATAGAATTTTTGGTTTTTTATGTGATATTTGTGATATCAAGAGTGGACAGTGTAATTCGCATCATCTGATTGGTGGAGAAGTTAAATATAGGACTCGGTTTTTTGTACGATATTTGTGAGATATTTGAGATAATATCGGAGTGGACAGCGTAATGTACATAGTTATTTACATGCCATAATTTCCAGACTGATTTCCGGGACACTTTAAAAAATGTATCTTGTATCTTTCATTGTGCATGAGTATTACTTATTTACCATTAATTAACAGAGAGACATTGTTGTTTAATTTGCTTTTATTTCTCGATTTTTCAGGTCAAAATTTGGCTAACAAGTCACACATACCAGCCAGACCTCCCCTTGATTTTGGTAAGAATCAGTTTGTGAGATACGATGGCCCTGAAATTCAGGCAATGGCTGCCTTTGACTTTTTGAATGACATGTCTTCCTCACATACTTCTGACCAATCAAATGATCAGAAACAGTCACATGACCAGCTCTTCAGGAGAGAGGAGAAAAAATATGGTTATCAAAATCAAATGAACCAATCAACAACATCCAATGACTCTAGAATCTCTCCTGTGAAGAGGCCTAGAAGAAAACTACGCCAAAGGACCAGAAAAGACCCCAAAGTGGATAATTACAATCAAGGATATGTAAAATCTCGAAAATTTTCATCAACGTCTGCTGATGAGTCGAATGATGAAGAGTCATCTCTGTCTGATAGTAATAGTTATTCGTCAGAGGAGGGTAAAGGCAATAATGAAAACCAACAATTAAGAAAAAATACAAAAATGACTTACTTGTGAAAAAGATATTTTCAGTAAATTTGAAGGGGTTATTTTATGTTGAGAACACTAAGCAATATAGCAATCTTGGCAATAATGCTTTGATGATGAGATGAAATCAAGCTTACATACATGTCATAACGTCCCGGATGTCCGGGAAAGTCCCGGAAATAAGGTGTCTGTCCCGGAGATTATTTGTTATGAAATTACTTTATTTCGAAATTTTTGCATTATGGGTAAATTCAATAAAAATTAACTTTTATTGAACTTGCAGGAATAGTATGACAAAGGGCAGGAAATAATCTGTATATTTTTGTTAAGGATCTTTTAGTTAGTGATTTTGTTAATAACTTATTTATTTTAGTTATTTATTTTGTTGTTATGATTTTGATTGTAACATGGATATTATGTTCGAAGGAGAATGCAAACTTTGTACACTGATAGGGTATCAAAGGCCAATATTAATAATTATGTCATGAAAATTGGAAGTCCCATATTTGTTGTTGTTGTTTTTTTATAACAAAAATTTGGGAATGAGTATTACATGTATACACAGATGTGTCCTATACACAAGTATTTACCACACAGTTTTGCCTTTTGCATCTCAAACAATTATGTTTAAATTTGTAAAAAGAATTGTTTTTTGTTTTTTTTTTTTCATTTAAATGGTAATAATAAAGTGCTTATGGTTGTTTAATTTTTGTATAAATTTTTTATGGGGGTTTGGGAAGAGTTGGGGGTGGGGTCGTGCTTAATTATATAAGGCCAGAATAGATACAAATTTGTCTGGGTTTTTAAGGGGGGGCAGGGGGGGGGAGATATGTTGAGGGTTGAGAGGGGTTTATTTGAAATCAAATACAGTTGTTTAGGATTTTAATTGAAAATTCTTTGAATACAAAAGTTATGATAATTGACTATTGTAATTTATTGAATGAGCAAAGATTGGTACAATTTGTTTATATCTTACTAAAGTTCTTTTACATGCAAAGAAAGTTTAGGATTGAAGAACATTTGAGATTGTGAGTCAGGTCTAAAAAAGCAACAGGAAACAGAAATTGTTTTGTTTTTGGCCTATGTACAATACTGTAATCTATGCAAAAGAGGTGTATTTTTAAGGTTCATGACTATTTTAACCTTGTAATCAGGGATACTAATTATTTCATTTTACATTCATTTTTGTATATAGGAAAAAAAACATTTTCGTACAAAAAGCCTGTGCTTGATTCAACCCATTCACTTCCAAAACAGATGGGTATACAAGTTGCACTCCTAGTGCTATGTATTTTCTTTTTTCTTACCAGACCCTTTAGGATATATTTAATCATGATTTTGGTCTGAGTTAAAAAAAAAATCTCATCTTTGTTCCATTTCTTAGATAAAAAATTTTAAGTGTATGTTTTATATTTTATACACACTGGTTGCGAAGGAAGAATACAAAGAAACCACACATCATCACTGGATTAATATGAACAATATTTTAATGAAATATAATACCAGTTTTGAATCCATCTTGCTCTTCATCAATGCACTGTACATAAAGTAAAATAATAAGCATTCATTTCCTAATATTGAAGATTCCTGTAATTACAATGTCAAAAATAAGTTTAAAGCTCATAATGTACCCTTTGATTTTGGGTATCATTATTTTGTACATCATTATGTACCTTTTTGATGTATATAATTTTGAGCATCATAAATTATGTACATCATTTCAACAATCATGGAGAAAATATTTTTTAAGGTTGGGTTTTATAAAATATATTTTCAATATTTCTTTTTCTTCTCTTCTTTTGTTAAAAAAATCTTTTTTCCCAGTCACATGATTATTTTCTCACATGGTAAAAACATATTCGACTGTTCATTTTGTTTGCCTAATATTTAGTCTTGGACGATGTGTTACTAAAAATAACTGACCTAATTACATACATATTTGATAAAAACATATATTAGCCACACCCCCTTCAAGCCATTTATTTTGATTAGCTTCAACCACGGATTAGCTTAATAAATCCGTGGCTTCAACAGTATTTACTGATAAGCTGCTAAAAATAAATGATCTAATTACATACATTTACATCTGAAAGCTGTTTCAACTAGTAAATTGTGAGTGATCTTGAATTTTGGATTTTTTGCCTCATTTTTAGCATACAACAAACAATGAGAAAACATTTTTATTTACAATTTTATTAATGAAATATTGCTTTTTGTTTTACATCATGCATGTTTGATAAATTTTACCAATACAGGGTAATTTTTACAATTGTATTGAATTTTAACATTTATAATTAAATAATTCATTGGTAATTTTTTTTGTATGGATATGCTATTTTTTTAACAATTTTGATTTATTAATATCTTCATATTTGCGTGCCATTAAATAACATCATTTAATTCTACTGAATATTTGTAGCAAACTAAATGGAATATTCAGTGTTTCTTTTGCTAACCCACAGAATATCTTTCCTAACATTTTAAACAGGACACGTTATCGATGTTTCTTTTTTCAAGTTGTCAGAAAGTTCAATAACTCTGACCAAACATTTTGAGTAGAGAATGGGTTGTCTAACTTTGTTTGTTATTTTTTCTGTTTAAGTGTATTATATATTTGAAATTTTATAAAACTGAGTATTGTTAACTTCGCATAATAAAATTTTAAGGTAAATATTGTGTACATGTACTTTAAGTATATTGCGACAAAATTATGATTGCTATTGAGATGAAGATAATGTACAGTTTAAAGGGAGGTTACTCAGTTATGTCAAATACTAGTACAAAGAAATTAAAATAATAATTATAAAGTATAAATCCCAAAGAAATTATGAACATTTGCATACATTTTTGTACAAAGATTGAGTGTATAATAATATGTCCAAGATATATAAATGAAGGAATAGTTCACTGAAAATATTTTGCACAAAATAAAATGACTTAATGACAAAATTAGGGGCGTCCGTGGCCGAGTGGTTAAGGTCGTTTCATGTGAGGAAGCTATCCAGCTAGCTTACGGAACGTCGGTGGTTCTACTCAGGTGCCCGTTCGTGCCTGAAATAATGCACGGAAGGGCACCTGAGGTCTTCCTCCACCAGTAAAGATGGAACGTCGCGATATGACCTATACTGTGTCGATGTGACGTAAAACCCAAAACAAACAAACAAACAAATAATGACAAAATTTATCTAATGAAATTAATCATATAATACCATGGAAAAATGTCATAAATTTTAAATTTGGAATTATTTTCTTTTATTATTAAATAATGAAATGTAGCAGCCAATAGAGCATATTCAAAATTCAGTGATGAGCAAGTTGGCCATGCTCTACATTTACAGAAAACAATGACTGTCTTTTCTCTGGAAGTTAAATAAATGTACAAGGAAACATAAAGATAAATGTTTATGTTAAGAAAAAATTTAGTGAATTGTCATGAAATGCACTTTTTATGACAAAATGAAATTAATGTACTACATGTATTAAATAAATGTTAAATGATGATATTGAAGATGTAATAATGAAACATTTAGTGCATCTAATTCTGCACATTAGAACTTGTGATATAATAAATTACTGTAGATAGTAAACTATTTATAGACTCATGTTTCTCATATATGATAAATAAAATGAAATGAAAATATATCTCGAGATTGTGTTGTTCTTTGGTCACGTTTAGGGCCGCTGTTTTTTAGGTAAGGTCATGTGATGGCATTTCAGGTCATGTGATGCCTTTCCGTGTCATGTGATGGCTAATTAGACATTGTGAGAATTTATTGGAACATGTCATTTCTTCTTAGGTCATGTGATATAAATTCTGGTACTAAGATGATTTGATAACATCCTAGGTCAGACAATTATGTCTTTTCATGTCATTTAATTACCTTCCAGAGCATTCCATATGTCCCTCTGGTAAATTTGATGATTTTTCAGATCATGTGATGGCATACTAGATCATGCGATCTTTTTCCACATCATGTGATTACTTTTCAGGTCAGCCATTTATTCTTTGGTTATGTGATGCATTTTTATCTCACGTGATTGCTTAGTAAGACCATGTGATATTGGTAACTTATTTAAAAGTCAAGTCATGTGTTGACCCATAAGCCATGTGATGCCACTCTTGGTTAGTGTGATAATTTCACAGGTCTTGTGATCGTTTACTACGAAAACCATGTGATAAATTTCCAGGTCATGTGATAACATAACTTGAATATGTGATAACTTACCAGGAAATATAACTTACCATACCAGGTGATGACTGGATCATATTAAAAATACTGATGGAAGAAGACCTAGACACAGTAACATGCATTATTTCCTTGCCAAGCATGCACGCTTAAACCACTCGTACGTCGAGGTCAATCCTTGTATGGTGCTCGGACGGCGTGATTAGCCATTTATGAGGATTTTTCAAGAAGTACAGTAAAATGATAGCTCATTTAGCTTGGCCATTGACCATTGATATTTTCTAAGAAAACCTAAATATAAAAACTTTTTTTTTTCTTCAAATTTTCAAACCGTTGACGTTGTCACGGTGTTTTTATATTCTTTTTTTTTTAATGAACAATGAAAAATTCAATTTTATTTCTGAATGTTCTGCAACTGAATTTGAAATGGAACATTACATTTTGTTTTAAATAAATTGTATTACAAAACCTTATAAAACACGTCTTGTTGGAGCATTTCTTACTGTAGTTCTTCTAATAAATGCTCTTTTGATATAAAACATGGAACAGTTTGTATAGCATGTCACAGAAAAAAAAAATATAAATGGGAGTAGCATTGCATTAATTAAGGAAAGGAAAGCTTCGCTGACTCTATATGAGCCATTATTTTGGTTTTGTCATGGCGCGGCTCAATTATGTAAATGAAATACCGAGTAGGCTAACTACGTGGTATGTGGTATGTCTTTTATCCGCGGATATGACTTAAAATACCGCACTATTACATATGACTTCATTTTTCTTTTCTTGCCATGATAATTTATATTAATAAAATAATTTTTAAATTCTTTTTTTCTAATGAACAATGCAAAATTCAATTTTATTTCTGAATGTTTTGTAATAATACATGCAAAAAATCGTTCAATTTTTAAATGTAGTACATTTTACTTTGTAAGTCATACCGCTAAGTGATACATCATACAGCTTATGTTAAGGTTGTTGTTGTTTAAGCTTAATGAGGGTAAGGTTATCAGGAACGGTTACTATATACATCCCTGGGTATGTGAAGTGCAAAATCTCTGGTCAGAAACCATTGCTGCATTGAATCGCGCCAGGGTACTGCCTCTTGATGGCCCCGTGATTTATATGCAAAAAATATTTGGGGCAGGTCGACTTTCACAAGTCCCTATGTGCACCGTGTCACAGAGTGAAAATAACATTAAAGCAAGCAAAATAAATAAATAAATAAATAAATAAACTTGAAAATAAGCTCAGTGACCCACATTTTTGTCCGCTTCAAATATATTTAAAGCATGCGAAGTTGAGAATAAATTCTATTACATGTATATATAATATATGTACTTTATATTCTTCATGTCTGTTAGTTACAAAACTTTAAGCTTGCCCAAATACGGCGGTTATGTCACCTACAAATGTAATAATTTTGGTGTACAAATTTGTTAATTTTCGTGAGTGTGGGTATTATACATGTATGTTTATAAAACAATCGCTATCAAATTGTCATTTTAAAGAAAATACATTTCATTTTTGTGTAAACGCGCGAATTCATACACTTCTTTCTCTGCAGCTCTGGGTTGGGTCCTTTACCGGCGTTTGCCGGAATGAGCCGAAAAGCTACGAATGGACAAAACAATGACGGAAATGGCCGAACAATTGACCAGTGCGATGTTCAAAGGGTAAGTAACTATCACACAGTGAGATTTATGTCCCTCTTTTTGAAATGAATTTTTGTATATTGCGAGGCTAACGGAAAAAGTCAATGTGGTTCCTGTGTGCTTATCAAATTGTATTCATATTTTTGTACGTAGAACTTAGTTTTGACTCCTTGCAAGTATTTTTAAGGGAAGATTAGGTTAAACAAAGTATTATCTTCACATTTTAGCGTGTCTACTTTGAATTTTTTAAGCAGTGAGACAAAAACTCTTTTTTTACATGAAAGAATGTATATTCAAAGGATTTATTTACCTTTTTAACAATTGCGAACTAATATATGTACAAACATTGTAAATTAACGCCTCAAGATTGAAAATTCAACAATTTAAGAGCATAAAACCGTTCATATGCTTATTGGGAGACAGGAACCAAATTGATTTTTCTAACCTAGCCTTTGAGAAACAAAATTTCATTTGAAATCAAGGGAAACTAATCCAACATGAAAATCGAAATAATGACTTATTTCCCTTTGGTATAAGAACTTCGTGTAGTAGCTATTGTGATTAGAACATGTCACTTGATTAACGTTATGATTCTACAATGTTTGTGATATTATCTAGATATTTAAATATAAGTAAGATATCGGTTCGTCTTCTATATAAGGATCTACGAACTTCTAGATTACGCACATGCCAAGTGTTACTCCACACAGAAAAATGCGGGGGCAGCTCGTTATCACGTTTTGTTCATTGCCGTGTTTTGCTGTCCAAGTAGGGGTGGGTGCCGCAGTGAGTTGGTATTTAACCAGGATCTTTTCCATTGAATCGTGTATTACTTACCATGTGAGGGGACCGTTGAGGACGATTGTTTCTATACGAAAGA